GCCCCACCTTGCCTGCCCCTGAGGTGCTTGGTAAGTGAGGCTGGTCCTTTCTCTGGCTTGTGGACTCTGCTTATAACCCGCCTTTCTCATGGGAGACTTCTAGAACAGGGGTCAGCGGCCTTTTATCATTAAGAAGCCAAACTGTATCAGTGTTCCGCGTAAGAGAGAGAGACACAGCTGTTGTGATAAGAGTCTGTTTGCATAACGGGAAATCTACAGCTTCTCTGATAAATTGGCAGGTTGATTGATAAGCCATGGTGTTTCTGCAGCCCAAACACCGGTTCTTGTGAGGCCTTCGTTAACGTGGGACACACGAGGCTTCACCGTCAGTAATGAGGAGCCCCTGCCCAGTTGTTTTAGCGCCCTGGGCCAAAGCTGTGCATGGCTGGCGCTTGGATTCCTGGCCACGGGTCACCCGTTTCTCTTCCTGTAAAGCATCTCTGGGAAGCTCTTTGCCCCCACCCCACCCCCCCGAAAGCCTTGGCCCTGTCCCTTCTCTTCACTAACCGGGTTATCCTAGTATTCCACCTAATCTCTGATACGCCTTAACGTAAAGATTTTCTTTTATTTTCCAATTAACTTTGTTTGGCTCTGAAGCCACAGTCATTTGGGCATCTACCCATTTCCTGTACTTCACAAGTTCCCAACCATCTCGGTATGCTGACCGGCAAGTCCAAATTGGCGTGTGGTGACCCAGCCAGGGCTGGGCCAGAGTTTCCCGGCACCTGAGGCATCCTGTGACCGGGGCCCTCATCTGGGTCAGCCTCCCATCTTCTACAGTGGCTGGCCAGATGTTTTTGAGAAACCAGCACCCACTGGACTAGGAGCCCCAAGCCAGCGACATTGTTGGGTGGTAGTGAGATATTGGGGGGGAAATGGTATTTAGCAGAGATAAGATGGTCCAGCAGAGCCAGAGTAGAATAATTCAGACTCAGAGTCCACGTGTGATGAAAATATAAAAGTTTTTACTAAATTCTAGCATGGGGAAGGGCAACCGGGATGAAAATAACAACAGAGCATAATCGGCTACATCCGTACTCTACAAAGACAAAACTAGAAGAGAGAGAGTATGGCTGCTCTTCTTCTTCTTCAGAACACCAAAAACAAAGACGGGAAGAGAAGCCGTAAAATGGTAATATACCTTGACACTTTAGTCCCAATCCAACTCCTAGATCAGGGAGAAAATTCCCGGGCTTCCTACAGCTAAAGGAACATTGGGTGGCATGGAAGGTGCCGTTTTCAGGGTCAGGGCTGGTTTCCAGGGCCCAAAAGAGGCCAGGAGGGAGGGCTGGCCTGCGACCTACTTTCTGAGGCTTCGCGACCCACTTTTGTGTCCCAGCCCGCAGGTTGGCAAACACTGCTCTCCTTCACACTTGTTGAGGGCCAGGAGAACGCTGGGCGTTTGCAGACATCGCAAGGTGCTCGAGAGGCGCTTTCTGTTGGACAGGGGAGAATACCCACGGGCTGTGGGGCTGGGAGCGGAGGCACAGACTGGCGAGCAAGGGGTGGGTGGGGCTTTGTTTTTGGGGGTCTTCCTGAGCTCCTGGACGTTTTGCTGTTTCTTCTACGGTGGCCTGTTCCAGGTCGTAGGGCCCCTGTGCTGACAGGTCTGTCCCGTCTGACTCTGTCTGGCCACAATTCAGAGTGCGGGGCTTTCCTTGACAGCTTTAAGCAGCGTGGGCCAGCAAAGGGCCTGTGCCCGGTCCCTGCGCTCTCTGTGCGGAGGTGACGCGGGGGGTCGCGAGACTCGGCCTTTCTTTTGCCATCAATTGCAGCCGTTGTGAACAGAGGCTGTTCATATAAAGAAATAACACACTCACCATCTTGAGCTGCCTTGAACTACAAGGCAAGGCAGGAGAGAAATGTTGAAATCAATAAATAGCCTGTAACGGAAGGAGAAGAGCCACACGTGATTTTCTCCTGTTTTCTTCTGTTCTCGCAGTCTTACCTCTTTCTGTCTCTGCTCAGGTCCCTTTTACAAGGCAGCAGCCGGCGTGTTTTCCTCGTAAGGGCATGCCTAGTTTTCCTCAGGGGGATGGGGAGGGGGTGTGTGTGTGTGTGTGTGTGTGTGTGTGTGTAGGAGAAAGAGAGGGTCCGGGCTTTCTTGACTGACGGAAAGCCACAGCCACGGGGAATACAGCAGTTGGTACTCCTTTGCCCGCCTGGCTGCCTGCTTGCTCTCCAGGCCTTATCCCCCCCTCCCGTCCAAGATCTGTTTCAACATCCTCCTGCCGCTGCCTGCCCCGATGCCACCCTCTCCTTGTGCCACCAAACGCCCTTCCTTATCTTGCCAGTTTGCCTCTTCCTTCTGCTGCTGCTCCGTGGCTGCAGGGCCAAATTCCCTCAGCTGCAGGCTGCCGTTTCGGCCTCTTTGGAACCTTTCCCACGACTTCTCCCCGCAGGCTTTAATGCTGCACACGGTGCCTTCCTTTCCCTCGACAGCCCAGCGGGACTCTCTGGTTCTGTATGGCTGAAACTGGGCAGTGAATGGATGTCCTGGGGGTGGGGTGGGGGTGGGGAGTACTGCAGTCTCCACAAGTTCCGTCCAGTTTGGATGGGAAACCGAGGAGGCCCAGGTCCTAGGAAAGGGGTGTGTCTCTGTTCCACTGAGGCCAGTGGGGAAATAACGAAAAATAATCACAAAACCCAAGCAGCAATGAAAGAAGCAAAAACGGAGCTATATAAAAACAACCCAATAATAAAACAGTCCATTTTGGAATGAATAAGAGAAATGAAAGAAATGAAATGAGTGGTTAACAGGACGGGGGCCTTTCCACCCTCCCCTTTGAGGTTGGCCTCCTGCCTGCCTGCCTCTTAGGTATTTCGAGGCTGGGGAACAACAGGTCTGGCAGCTACACTGACCTGTTGTTTAAATGGGGCCAAATACCAGGGCCCAAATGCAGTTGTGGTGCAGCCTGCCAATGCCGAACCCTTTCCCGTCTGTCACAGGGATGTGAGGGTCACGCTTTCCGGCAGGGAGGTGCGAGAGAACTCCCTGACTTCTCCCCAGCTGCCCCCGAGTGGACTGGAAATTTAGATGTTCGTATTTCTGGGGGTGGCTCAGTCTGTCTGCACAGCCGTTGCATCCGCTTCGTTAGGTCTTTTATGTTATCACCTGCTTCCTGTGTGCCAGCCTGCCATACGGTCAAATAATAACAAATAACGTTTTAGGTGTTAGCAAAAAGTTTCTCTTTGCCCAGCCTTAACGGGTGGGTTCTGTTTTTTGCAGGTATTTTCAAGGCGTGACCTTCACTTGAGGGCTTTCTCGTGAACGCTGGTTTAGAGGGAGGGAATCTTGTTTTTATGTCCTTCATGGGCACTTTGCTTATTTCATTGGCTTATAATATCAATAATTTTATGCATTTTCATTTTACTATTGTATTTTTACTTATTTATTAAGGTATCTATATTCCTAGTGATTAAGGCGTACAAATTACACACAGTGCGGCTTAAAACATACACACCCCTCCATGTCATACCTCCCAGTCTGTGCTCTGTGAAGAGGCCTGGCAAATGAAGCCGACCGGGAGCACCTCCTGAGGAAGTTCTCTAAAGACGGTGCCCTCCCCCCGTGGGGGGGGTGGGGGTGAGGTATCACAAGGGAGCAGGCCTTGGCCTCTGGTGGGTGCCAGCCGGCCCGCCTTGCGGGGGGGGGGGAACTGCCAGGAGGCGGCAGGGGAAGGCCATCGCTCGTGTGCAGCAGGGGACTCTGGGGAGGAGACAGACGGTCCTCGAGGTGTCTGGGTCACAGGCCAGGAAGGGCACCTGGAGTCATTGGGCTGCGGAAAGCCAGCTGGCCACCAGGGGAGTTGCTGGAAGGCGAGGAGGGGCCTCAGGCAGGCCTGGATACTTCCGAAGCAAAAGCCGAGGCCTTGGTCAGAGGTCAGAGGTCTTGGCTACAGCTAAAATTGCCGCTGCTGGGGTGTGTGTGCGCACGTATCTTCATATGTATCTTCATATGTTTTATTCACTTGCTTGAAAGCTGCCCTGGGCATGTCTGAGTGTGGCCAGCGCCGGGCGTGCCGGGCAGGCCAGTCTCCCGCTGCAAGTGGCGCCCCGGCTGAGCCAGCCCCCCCCTCCTTCCCCCCCAGGGAGGCACGAGAGCCAGGAGCCCTTCCTGGACTGGCTGCTGGTGCTGAGCAACACGTCGGCCTTGCCCTGGGTGCACACGGTCAGCTACGGCGACGACGAGGACAGCCTGTCGCAGGCCTACATGGCGCGTGTCAACGTGGAGTTCATGAAGGCGGCAGCCCGGGGGATCAGCATCCTCTTTGCCTCAGGTACGCCGGAGGGAGGGAGGGAGGGGGCACGACCAGGCCTGCAGGCGCCCATGCCAGCAGCACCCTCTGCCGAGGACCGAGAGCTCCGCGCGCGTGCTTGCGCCTGGGCATGTCTGAACCCCCTCCTGTAGGTCTCCCTTGGCCAGTCGAAACTTTTTCGTTGGATCAACACAGGGCCAGGTTGCACCCCCCCCCCTCTCCTGCCAGGCCACCTCCAGGCCTTGGCCCCGCCACACGTGTCCCAGCAGGGCTCCTGCACAGGTGCCGCTCTGTGTGGTGGCGGGGTGTGGGGGGGGGAGGGTATTACTTTTCCTTCCCCTCCTTTCACACTACGGGGCTCGCTCAGTCAGGGCTTGGTTTCAGGCTCTGGTTTCAGAGGGGGGTGTGTGTGCGTGCTTGCGGTGCCGCTCTCGCAAGTTTCTCAACTTAATGCACGGTGCTGTTGGAACTGGAGGCTAGTTGGTTACTTTTAATATTTCTGTGAAGAAGCAACGGACTTGGTGTCATACCAAATAC